AATTGCATAATTCAAGACGCCATATTCTGGAGTCTTGACAGAAAGGGAATCGATGGTCAACGACATCAAATCTGCCATTTTGTTCGATCTCTAGTTTAATGTGGATAAGAGTTGGTCACTGCGTCATCAATGTTAACCACTCAAAACTTTGATAGTACATTAAACCAATTAGTCAAACCTATGGTCAAGCCAAAGACAATATTTTTTTTTTAAAGTTAGCGCTAGGGTAACGAAGATTGCAATACTTTGTCGATAAATAAAATGTTTTGAGAAATTATCAATCACCTTTTCATTACACGGTAATTGGTCATTTCTCAAAACATTGCAGTGTACGAATATCCATATCATGCAGTATATCGTAAAAGGCGACTAGACTTGGGGTAGTATTATTTTTAATAACTATGACCGGCATTATATACGGTCTATAAAAACAACAGTGAAAAATCACTTACTTAGTCACGTCGATTACTTATTAGAAATTGACATAAACGTTATCTTTAACACTGACGTTAGTTATCAATTATGATTAATAGGCGACAGAGTGAAACAAATCAGGATATGGGCAGGAGTGTCTACCTAATAAACTAAAAATAAAAAAAAACTGCGGTTGCCAACACGCTTACCAAGCGTGGTAACTATGGTAAATATATGGGGTAAGCCTATGATTCATGGAGGTTAGACAATAGAACGATCGCTGTATAAAATAGTGTCCCAGAAATATGGACAAAAGAAGTGAGGCGCTGCGATCGCTAAGTTGTCTCAATAGTTATTATATTACAAATATAAATTATTATCGATTTATTTTTTTTAAATTATTACACCATTTTTTAATGTTTCTTTTTGTCAAAAATTTATTTCGCAGACACTACTTACCAACGGCAGCACGGCTATAAATTCTACAAATTTTCAGTGACAGGCGGGCTATGCTTTAGCACGTAGCGATCGTTCTGTTCTCTAACCACCATGCTATGATCTATAGTGGACTTTACTAGGTTCTATTAGGAAAAGTAGGAGGAAAAAGTCCGAACATTTTTTTAAATTTAATCTCGGCGGAACGTAGGAACTCCGTGCTTGTTGTTTAGAACAGCGTTGCCATGAAAGGCTTCACTTGCTCATGAGCTCCTCTGTATTTCCATAACCATGGCCGGAAGTATATTGTTACGACCTTATGAAAAAGAAAGAATTGTAAGGAAACTAAAAGGAAAGGGAGGGGAGTAATTTTATTATTTGAAAAATATTTCTATGTAAAAAAAGTCATCAAACAACAAGATGAAATAATTTATTAAACAAGTTGCGTAAACAAGTCCAATGATTAAAACAATGATAAATAATAAAATCTAGTTTACTGAAAAGAAAAAATTCAAATATTATGTCACTTCCAAAAAAATCCATCAAGCAATTTAGGTTACAGAGCGTGTCAAAGAAAAAGACATCCATGCGTGCATACTCAAAAAACATTGTTACCCTTCTTTTGAAGTAGCCAAGTAAATAAAAAAGGTTATACTATAAAAAAACAAATACTGTAATGAAAATGCTGAAATACAGGTTCTGGCCTAGTTCGGCAATGGATGCTATTTTTCATGTTATAAGATAAAATATTCCTGTGAAGTTTATAAATAGACATATTGCTAACTTGTATATATGGAAATAAAGATTATTATAATTATAATTATAGAAATGATGCCATTTTGAAAGATACTGTTGAGGGGTTAAGAATATAGTACTAGCATTGTTTCGTCTCGTCTCGTGGGTGCCGTAAGAGGCGTCGGAGGGAAAGTGAAACAGGAAATGGGCAGCAGCATCTTCTTAATAATAACTAAAAGTTACAGTTTTTTTTTATAACTAACGATAAAACACAGAATGACTTTCAATAAGTGTTATCCGTATTGAATAAAATTTATTGTATTCTGTTTAATCTAAAAATTTAAATACAAAATATTATAAGACAGATGGAAATGTCGGTTAGGCTATCTTCAAACAAATGCAAATTTTTACATTCAATACATATAGAGTTATTTTGCAATAACTGGCCAAATTTGCGGAGAAAGTTCAGAATAAGTAATATAGGCAAATAGTGAAGAAACATTAATTTAAAATAATCTCACATACGGTCCTTTTATCTTTTGAATTCAAAATGCATGGTAATGCACTATTTTAACTGATTTTACAGCGTACGAATGTGTGTACATTCGTAACGGTCGATCGGTGGGGAAAAATGTTGTGGCCTATAAATCACGTTCAATTTGGGTTAATTTCGAATAAAAGTTTCTACTTTAGCCTTATTTACTCGCATTTTCAAAAACTGCAATAACGGTATGTTATTATTTATGTATTTGAACTTAAGTTTAAAATTTGGCTACTGTTTAAAAAATAACCCTGTGCATGCTTTGCATGAGTGGAACAATGCTATTACTAAAAATGAAAAACATACTCGTACAGTATTTCAAATATACGCATGTGAAACCAATTAATGTGATAAATAGTCACTGTCGAATAGTTAGTAATTACTAAGGTCGATTTATCTTCACACAACAACAAACAGTTTAAGTTACAGAGCGTGCCAAAAAATAGACATCTATACATGCATACTCGAAAAACATTACCCTTCTCCTGAAGTAGCCAAGAAGAGAAAAAAGATTAGTTTAAGCTACAGAGCGTGCCAATAAAATAGACATACATACATGCGTACTCCAAAAACATTACCGTTCTTCTGCAGTAGCCAAAAGGAGAAAAAAGGTTGTATTAAAAAACAAACCATGTGGTGACAGATTAACAATATCCACCACTCTCATTTCGTCTAGTCCACTAGGTGTCGTAAGAGGCGTCGGAGGGAAACTGAAACAGGAAATCGGCAGTTAAGTTACAAATTTTCACACTTTCACACTATATAACTATATAACAGAAAAACTCTTTCATACCAACTGTCTCCAAGCATTCAACCATTATTAAGATAAGTTTGATACGAAACAAACACGTAAGGGATAGGAAGAGAGAATAAAAACAGGAATACGGCGGATGTTATTACGTCACTATAATATATATTACAAAGACTGAATTTGGTGTTTATGCTATGGCACAATAATATGTCCTGGACAGATGAAAACATCTGCCATAACCGGATGAGTCACGCCGCGATCGATATCCATTCATCAACTCACAAAACTACATTTAGTCATTTTATGGCATTATGATATATCCTGCACATCTATGACGCTGGAATCCGTTTCTCAGTATATAATACCTTTTGACAACCTTTCGAGCATTTACGGCACTAGAATATATTCTGCATTAATGTTTGCTGCTAATACTGATGGTCACTTTAATTTATAATGCACACAGGAATTAAATAAAGAACCATATAAACCTGAGAGAAAACCAAAAAAATAATAAACTTAAAAAAAATGTGCTCTAGTTCGAATTGCAAACATACTATGGAGTATGATGCAATTTCAAATGATATAATGCTATACTAATGAATAGTATAATAATAATAGTATATAATTTGAAGCAAGGTTCGAGACAAAGAGCTACCTCACAATACTCACACACAAAAGTGGTAAGTTTCGAAACCTGATTTCGCTTCAGACACCAGATGCATTTACGTCGCATAGTTCGGTGGCCGGCGACACGTGAAGCTGAAAACCTGACAGGCCAGTGAACACTGTTCGTCAAGCGTCTCGAGGGCAAATCGCTGTCGCGATCTGCCGTTGAGACGCTTGTGTCGCGAATGTGTCGCGATGGGTTAATCTCGAGATGATAGCGCGGCACTTGATGGTGGTGTTTATCATAATGTCTTGAACTAATTGTAAACGAAAAGACAAATGATGTTTCCGTTCGTTACAAGATTTTTCAAAGTGGATTCTAGAATTGAGTATGGTAACATTTAAAAGCCTCTTGAAGAGCTTCATGTTCCATTTTGCACAATGTTTTCTTTCCAATAAATATGGTTCCAGCATTTGATCTTTACGATCAGTTTCACCCATATTCTTATTATAATCAAGAACCAACTGGGGTTTCCACAGAGGCGGCATATGGGGCTTGGATGGTGCCAGCCCTTGCTCAGTGCCATGGCTCTGATTAACGGAAGTTAGTTCTGATTAACGGAATCCTTTTTTTTATCCTGATACGCCATTATAACAACATCACCCGAGTGCCGCGCCAGAAACTGACCTGCCTGTAGCTTGCAAAGTGAAACCAGAGATGGCACATTTTGACGGTTGGGTCGTAGAGTTCCCACATAATCGGTTCGACGTTTCTTCAAAAACCTCGCCAGGAGGCGGCAATTGAACCAATTGTACATAAAAAGAGTATACCCTTTGTCGAGCAGTGGCCAAATGAGTTTGAGTACAGTTTTAGTACTCACGTTAAGTGACGATGGAAATCGAGGATCGGGGTATTTTCCTTTCCAGTGTATACGAAAAACGACCACATGTATCCCGTAGCAGACTCGCACAATTCCAAAGTTTTTATTCCGAATCGGGCCGCTTTAGTCTTTATATATTATTTGAATGAGAGTTTACCTTTCCATAAAGTTAAGCTCTTATCAATACATATTTTCTGTTTAGGGATATAAGCGGATTGAAAGCGGGAATTCAAATGATTTATAATTGTTTCAATAGGAAAGATAGGGTGAGAATCAGTTGTACGTGTTGCGTTATTTACAAAATGAAGGGCGCGGCACAAATGTTGATAACTATGGCGTGAAAACAATTGGCGGAAAATATTGATTTTCAATAGAAAATTTTCAAAAAACAAGATGCTATGGAGGGCATACGGATGATCCCCAACATCATCCAAAAAGAAAACAGGATAAATAGCTCATGTGTATTTGTTTCGTACCAATTTTGTGCAAAAGTATCACTGATACAAGCCAGTTCTACAGCATACCGGTTTATTTCTGTCGCTATATGAGACATGATGCTCTCGTCAAAATATTATTGAAATGCCTCATACGCACTTCCGGACGGCGTGGTTGGCCCTGTTCTTTCCGGAAGAAATGTTTATCTTTCACCTTGAAAGGAGTCCATGCGGCGCCAATCAAAGTGAAGAGAAGTCGCATCTCTTTCGAATAGGGCCGCATGTCCAATGTCATCCGCCACATCATCATTATCTACTTCCATCCTTCTCCTTTCGGCCCTCCGCTGTCGAGCTTCCCTATCAGCCACCACTCTCAAAATCCTATTACGCAAATCCTCAGGCACATCGTCGTCTGTCACACATACTTGAACAAGGTGGTCGCCGCGCCGCCACGATGAGGAGGCGGAGACGCGAACACCGCGGGCGCGGCGCCCGCGGCGGCCGCCTCGTGCCTGACGCCCACCCGCTGCTGCCGTCGCTGGGCCGCACGCCTCGGACAGCACCACCACTCGAACTCGCCACCACCTCCTCGTGATAAAGTTCGTGCTGGTCCGCCCACAAGTACTCGTTGCCGTTCTCCTCATCTAACCGCTCAACGACAACGACCACTTCTGGACGAACATTTCGCCTGTAAGACAAATATAAAAATTATATAACAATTTAGTTCGTACATATTTTATGTAATACTAGCTGTTCACCGCGACTCCGCCTGCGTATTAATTTATGACCATTAGATTTCTTGCGATTTAATGTATTTGTGCAGAACCCTAATTATTCCTTATAACACCAGTTATCTGCCAGTGAAAGTCCCATTAAAATATTCCATAGAATAGGGAAAGTCTCGGCGACGCGGCGTCGAACGGTTCATGTCTTGCATTTTTATACCTGTGTTACATTCTAAATTAAATATCCGATTTGAATGAATTACTGCTACACAAATACCCTTAATGATAAAACTATCTATTCAAACAAGAATTAATACTATGAAATTAACCAACTAACCATCCTAGCTACCATGGCTCCTATAAACTATTAATACATACATAAACACTCGCGCCTGTCACCCAGAGGGGTAGGCAGAGACTACAGACTTCCATTTGGCACGATCCTGAAACGCCTCTCTTGCCTCCTTCACATCCATACACCTACGCATACATGCTCGTCGGTTTAGGGTACTCCTAATTTGGCCCGTTTTCAATAAATCGCCAATTTGTTCGATAAATTTTCGCCTAGAACGTTCCTTTCCGACTCTGCCATTCACTTCTGCACCAAAAATTTTCTTTGTCACTCTTTCCTCATTCATTCTTTCCACATGACGAAACCACCGAAGCATTTGTAACGCTTCCCCCCTCTCTCATATAATAAATATATTAGATATAATTAATTTACCCCTTTTCGATAAAAATTATATATATGTGACCAAGATAATTAAGATATGTTTTGATCTTTCTAATTGATCTTTCTAAAGGTTTAATAATAGGCCGTTTGTAATATTTTTGGCGTGATCGTCTTAGTTAGGACCCTTATTTACGCTGTATTTGTTTAGTAACTTAGTCCTTTTAGGTGTCTTTTGGAAGAATGAATATTCGCTAGAGCAATTGAAAGCTGTTGGTAGTGCCTTATAAGCTAAGTGAACCCCGTTCACGAAGATAGGGCCCGAGAAAACGTCAAATTCCACTTGTATCAGGTTTACATTATTAATTTAATATTATTTATCCCTTCCCGCTCGGAAAAGGCTCAAAATATATTTATACAAAATACCCGATACAAGGGCTTCGCTCTCCTACATTTATTAAAAAAATGTAGGGGAGGCACACGACCCCACACACGCCGTGCACGGTGAGCGCCAACCATTTTGATGCACTCCCCCCGTAGGGAAAGCTAATTCGGGAACTGGACCGTAGTCCACAGCAAAATAACTGGCGAACCAGTAAAAGAGGCTTGGCCCCTTGCTAGTGCGTAAGCACAAACATCGACCGAAGTCGCGCATGTCAATGCGTGTAAACGCCAAACAGAATACGAACGATTCCAGCCACAGTGAATGTACGTCACACGGTTTAAGCAAATAGGCACACTGGCCGTAAACCCTCCGTGAGCGCCACCACCTGCCGGACCGCCGCTCCTGCAGACGTGATGTAAGTGTATGGCATCACCACCAATTACATGATCAGCACGGCTACTAGCCGCAGAGCGTGTCACGAGTCTACCGCTCACCTCAAGGGAATGGGGTCCCACGTTGTGCGGCTTTCGGCCGCAGCCTTGAGAGTCTCCTCAGATCCTCCCGCCAGCTACCAACCGCATGAGGTCGACAAATATGCTCCACCAACCAATGCAACGGCAGATATAGCCAAAAGGCAGTTATAAGATAAGAGTAATAATTCGCCATCAGAAAGGGTTTGTGTCACTGACGTTGAGTAAATGCATTTTCGATCATGTTTGTCTCACCCACCAACAAGTTGCCTTCAATCATTCAAAGGTGGGAAAGTTACAGAGATATAATATTATGTTGTTATATAAAACATTGTGGAGGGCAGACAGTCTGCAGCCCCGTAATGAAGGGACCCGACTTGGGCAAAGCTACTCAGGCGTGAGTCAATCCAAGACGCAGAGAGCGCTATTGAGAATAGCGTCCCACTAAACAACCATCGCAGAGACGCAATGCTGCAGAACGCAACAAGCATCAATACGACTATCGTCGGGCTTACACCATTCCAAGGTTCCCCATACATCCCAGCAGACATCACCACCCGCATACCTCCATCGACCAGAACCACAAGAGTGCCTCAAATGAGGCGCAGCACACCCGCAGATCCATCACAAGACGCAATACCGCAAGGAGCAGTAAGCATCAATGCAACTATCATACGGATGGCGCCCCCTCACAACACACCCACATGATCCCTATCGACTTTGGTAACAAAGTTTGTATTGTTGTTATATAAAAATATCACCAACGTATCATAGTAGCACGCTACTAAGACGCCAATGAACAAAACTCCACGTATCATAGCGCTAATGCACTAAGACATGAAGTTGAGTATGCCAGCTACACTTAAAAGTGCTACCAAACACGCTCATCATCCCAATCCGAAAGATAGACGACACATCGCTATGCGCAACGACGTCGCCCACAAACGGTATGGGTGTGCGATGTCCACGGGAAAGCCGTATTGCTACAACAAACCCGCTTACCACCGGCACTAAGATGATATGTCTAGGACACATCGGTTAGCGAGTCCAAGTTTACCTCGGACCAATTGCTCGTGAAGCAGCACACACGCCACCATAATATTCCTTTTCAAGTCCCTAATAAGGACTAGTCATTTTGCTACAGTACTAGGAGCAGTCAGTCACCCGACCACCCCATACAATGCTTATGCATCAAGGAGACCTCCTATAATATTGCTTTTGTATCATAGACCTTACTTTCATAAGTCATGTATATATAGGATTCGAACCCACGACCCTACTATTGTAATGCATATTAATCATAGAGACCTTCTATAGTATTGCTTTTGAATCATAGACCTTACTTTCATAAGTCATTCATATATAGGATTCGAACCCACGACCCTACTATTGTAATGCATATTTATCATAGAGACCTTCTATAGTATTGCTTTTGGATCATAGACCTTACTTTCATAAGTCATTAATATATAGGGTTCGAACCCACGACCCTACTATTGTAATGCAAATTCATCATGGAGACCTTCTTTAGTATTGCTTTTGTATCATTGAGTTTAATATTATAAGTCCCTAATATAGGACTAGTCATTGTGCTACAGTACTTCAGGCAGTCGGGCTCCCGACCACCCCATATATATGTACAACTGCAGGAATGTATCTCCGGCAGCTCCTCCATACAAGACATCTATACATGAACACCTTCAATAACTTAGGAAAATTTTCCTTTATACGTGAACTCCTTCCACAACTTAGGAAATTTCTTTTATACGTGAACTCCTTCCACAACTTAGGAAAATTTTCTTTTATACATGAACACCTCCCATGACTTAAACAATTTTTAACAAATTTTCTAATTATCTTATAAACGTTATTTAACTTAATTTTATAATATTTTTTGACTTGTATTTTTATTATTTATCTTATTTTAAATATTTTTTTCAAGTTTTTAAATAAATTTATTTATTACGAAAAACAATAATTTTGCCTTTAATTTACTATGTTATTGGGATAATGTCTGAAATATATTAACTTTATGTTTATTAATTTAACTTAATTGCTTAATATATATCTTTTAAGACTATTTTCGACGCCCCTTTATATTGAATTTAATTATTAATAATAATATTGGGCCGTCACAATCCACCCCCAAATTTTATGTTAATATCCCACACAGTGGAGTCGTTTTTCTATATTGAGAGCATATGCACTACATTCAAAATTTTGATTTTATGTGTATCTGTTCTTTCCTCTTTCAATCTGTTACAATTCATTATATATTTTTATCCCACCTACCCCAGGAAATGGCCGCCGCCACACACCCCTTAAACCACATCTATCCCAATGCGATAAACCATAAATCGTCATCTTGCTAAATTTATTGTATATTATGTCGTTACTATAGTGGTTCTCTTTAGTTTTTGACTTACATTTTTAAATCTTTGAAATATTTATTCATCAATGCCGTCTTTATATGTACAGTATTTTGAATATGAGTTGAAATCAGATGGCTACACACCCACAGGATAAATTTGATTGAGCCATTCACCCTGACCCAACTCCTCAAATTTATTCAAATAAAAATATTTTTTCAAATTTATCTTACATTCAATATTTACAGATAGTTGTTAATATAATTATTATATCATTTTTCTTATTTTTAATAGTTTTGTGTCTTGCTCATAACTTTAATAATTTTAAATTTATTTTCTCAAAGGGCCACCCACGAGACCAATTTATATTACAGTATTTATTCTAGTATGTATATAAAACAAAACTATTATCTAAAATATTTTATTAAATGAATAGCATCAAAATTTCCTATAATTTCATTTGTTTCTGGGTTTGCTAAAGTATATTAAAGTACATTGTCAAATGGTACGGCTGCTATTATATAAGGCCTTTCATACGCCAAATTAAATTTACTCATAACTTTGTTATCTGCATCTGATTTACTAGATCTAGAACCTTTTACTAAATCGCCAATGTGATATTTCATTAATTTATTACGCTTATCAAATTTTGTGTTTCTAATGCAACTTGCCTCTTTTAAATTCTTTCGCATTTGTTATCTAATTTGTCCGACATTATGTTTACTTTTACTATTTAGTTTAAGTGGCTGCTTGAACTTATTAATGTTATTGAGTCAGGCGTACTGACCGAGGTTTATAATTCTCTCTATTTAATTTAAATTATTACAAATATCACACATGAACATTATTTGTTTTAATGAATTAATACAATAAAATACTTAAATTAATAATTTTCCTAAAAATTTCAGTTAGGGTAAGTGCACCAATGAATGAACCCTTAAGGCAATTTCAAACTTTGAAAATTATAAGCATCTATATATGGGTGGCTGTGCTTTAATAATGCCACTCTATTACATTCAAAATTTATTCAAGTTTAATATTATATGGGCAATCTGCCATTAAAGGACATAATTACTAAGATAATCGACATTTTATGCCAAAGCACCCAAAATCACCAGTAAATGAACACCAAAATCCAGTGCATGAACATTTTAAACTCCAATGAATGAACGTTTTCTGTTGATACTAATTAAGCTAGAAATCACAAGTTTCTGATTATTTATTAAATGTAAATGAGGTTTTATAATTTATATACTTCTTTGAATAATATAACTATGAATTTGAAAGCGATGGTGTAGGCATATTTATAAAAACACAGTGAGAAATATAAAAAAAATAAAAAGAGAATAAAACGAAAACATAACTTTTATTTAAATTGTAGGCACATTAAAATCACAGAATAATCAACGTAGCCGTTACATGCTATTCGACATACTACTCTTAATTCCAACTAGGTAATCACATTAGTAGATACATTATTTCAGTCTTTACTCTTACAAATTAGGCTTTAGGTATCACTTTTAATTAAGAACTTTGATTATGTTCTACCTAGATAATTAAAACAATAGCGGACTAGAATCATCATTGGTTATAAAAATATATAATTAACAAAGATTAAAAAACATGTTGTACCTAAATCAAATAAAAACAATTTTTATGAAACTTATCAAATTAAACCTTAAGCTTACAATATAACTAATCAACAATAAGCGTAACAAAAATATGATACCTTAATCTCTTCACATTCTAAAAATAACTAAACCGGTTAATGGTATTATTAATTTAAAAACTAACCATAAAGTGTGAGATAAGCGTAATCAGCAGTACATTTTTTCTCACTATAAAAAATATCAAAAGAATTAAAACAATTATTATTCAATATCTTTAAATACTAAATCGTCAAAACAAATTAATCCGCGCCTAGAAATATTCGGTGTACCGAATACACGTTTAATATCATCGAAATCAACTTCTGCAATATCTGGCACTATTGGTTTTGCAAAATTGACAACATTTTACACAACGGATTTTTTTCTAAGAAAATCTACTTTATATTTTCTTTCATTGTCATTTACCATTATCACTTTTCCTACAAAATGACGCATTCTCTTTCCACTCTCAAATTGAACCAGTACATATCTATCAAATAAATTGTCCTTAAATTCAGTACAAGTCGTAGTAGTTCTCCTAGTTTCTATTTCAGTCTCTTCACTTGCTTCTAAATTATCTGTTGTTATAAAATCTTCGGCAGGTTGTGTGTGATCATCATGTTCTACTTTCATTTTCTTAGCTTGCTTTTTAAGGGGATTTTTTGGGCGTTTCAGTTGAACACGTTTTTTGCTTTGAGATTTTTGTTTGTTCAGTCTTTTTTCTTCTCGTTCCTTTCTTTTATTCGCTAATTCTTCCTCCTTAATTTTTTTCTCATCGTCCTGATTTTTTTAAATATTCTTTGTATTTGAGCCCTGTTAATCCATAAGGTGCAGGCATTTTTTTTGTAACTTTAAATTTCTTTTGTGGTAAATCCGGTATTTTCAAAAATCCTTCTAGTGGATTGGATGGATTTGTATCATTCGATGAATTAATACTATTAGTGGGATCTATTACAGACTTTATTGCAGTCTGACTATCAACTGTGGACTCAAGCGAATTTTTTGCTTGATTAGTGTTATTGCTGCAACTGGGAATGGCTGGTATGGATGATGCGTTATTCTGAGGAGAAGAGCATTTATTAGGAGCGTCAATAATGGGGTCTTTTTCTACTATTATTTCTAAAGTATCATACCATGGCAATGGTATCACATCAGGTATGTCTATTTCATTCTGAATAATAAAATCTATGACATCTTCAGTTGTATCAAAGGGTGGTAAATTGGGTAAAATACTAGTCTCACCCAATAATATGGAATTATCCGATGGCAGTCGGATTGCCGAATCTATTATAATTGAACTATTAGTTGCATGCATTTCTTCAGTTTCCACATTTGTAATTTCAGACTCGACGATTTCGGGAACACTATTCCTTTCCAGTGCCTGGCTTGATTCCAGTTTGGAATCGTCCTCGTTTGAAGTAGACGCTTCTATAGATGATACTGACAGATCAAGAGGAATGATCGGGGTATTCGGTGTTATCGTGTCACTCTGTTTTTTATTCTCAAGTTGATTTCTACATTTTTTCCACAGCTCAAAATATTGATGGGGATGAGAACGGTTTAAATTGTAAGACATGACAAACTCATTTCTTATCATCTGGCCAACTTCACCTTCTATAACCTTGATCGTACTTCGTAGATCCTCTTTTTGGTCATGAAGACTAGAGGTTGTGGTGCCTTTTTTGGTTTTGTTGCGCAATTTCTTGCCTTCTATTACTTATGCAGCGTGAGTAGTCAACTGCATCTGGAGACATTGGATATAAACCACAAACTCTAAATGAATTTTTTATCGTAGTTGGCTTAATGCTTCTGTCGTAAGCTATTTTAAACAACACAGCAAAATTTTGTTTTGTTATAGGTACAGTGGATGCCTGTTTATGCTTTCTCACTACCCTTTTCCAATTTTTCTTCAACGGTCCAAATATTCCTACATCACAGGGCTGCAAAATATGAGTTGAGTTGGGATATAAACAGAAAATCATTATTCCTTTTTCACGACAGAAATCAAACATGTCACGATTGATATGGGACTTGTGGCCATCCAGAAATAGCAATACAGGCAACCGGATTTCATTTTTTACCAACCATTCATAAAATAACTTAATGTAGGTAAAAAATACAACTGATACCATCCACCCGCTGTCGGAACGGCCAATATACCAAGTATCTGGGAAATTTTGAATTACGGCTGGTGGCATTCTTTTATATGGATACAAAACAAACGGTGGTACATCAGTACCATCAGCAGAGAATGTACATAGGACTGTGATTGATTCTTTTTGTTTCCCACTTGCGATTTCGTATGTATTTTTATAATTTTTGGGCCCCAAAATCAGCCCCGTTTTAAGACAAGTCATGACGCCAGTTTCATCTGAATTGAAAATACGAGTCGGGTCATCTTTAATGTCTAAGGCATTTTCTTCCTCTAAAAACTTGTTCAATTCAGTAAACCAATTTCTGATGGCCTCTTCTGTAACCGCTGCCCTAGCTTTTGATATTATTTCAGCGTTTCTTTTAGTTACTTCGGGATGTCTTCGCAAAAACAAAGTAAGCCATTTTTTTCCCGGTCGGCCTTTTGTAAATTTATTCTCCCTCTCATTTTGTTTCAAGAATATTTCCACAGTATCATAAACTTCTTCCGGGTGCATTGGAAACCCAAGTTTAGCTTTTGTTAAAATCCAGTCTGCTAGCTTGTTTTCTTCGTCGAAAGTTAGTTGTGTTAATGGACCCATTTTTCGTTGCCATGGTACTTTATTATTTAATTTATTACTTAACGTTGATTTGGGTATGTCGTATATTTTGCTGGCTTTATTAATAGACAAATCGTTATTTGTTATACGGGTAAGAGCCTCCTCTAACTGTTGTTGAGTATAACGGAATCTTGCGTATTTCTTTTTAGTAGATTCCATTATTTTTGAACTAAAAAAAAAAGAGAAATTGAAGTTGAAGCGTCTGAATATTTTTTGTAACTAATTACTGAGATAAAACTAAATATCACTGCTTGAAATATAACAAAACATTAATAGTTTATTTATTCATTCATTGGATTTTAAAAACCAGTAAATGAACGTAGCAATAATACTATAGTTCATTCATTGGTTTTTGAAAACCAGTAAATGAACGTAGCAACAATACTATAGTTCATTCATTAGATTTAAAAACTAGTAAATGAACACTAGGGTGTTCGAATACTGGCCTAAAGGTAGACAATCAATAATTAAACCTTTCTACAAAAAATAAACCAATTCTGAGAACAGAAACATGCAAAATTAGCCAAAAGTAACAAAACAGACCAGAACCAGTGAATGAACACTCGTTCATTTACTAGAACTTTCTCACTTTCATGATCTAGTAATCGAACACCCCTTTATTTTTATTAAACACATGAAATTATAAACAAGTTGTTTTCTAATGAATAAAATAATCATTGTTCTATCTTATTATGCAGTTTTCTTTACACTGTCACTCATATAACGTGAACAACGCTAATACCAAAATGCACTGTCTTACCTGAGTCCTAAATTCTCGCTCATACAATCACGAAACACAACACAACACGTCCACTTTAAGCAGTCGCCATTTTGTAACTACGGGTCGCTGGCAAATGTTTGTGTGACCAGTTTACGTAAAAAAATTAGACCACTCGAAAAAAAATACAGTGTTTGGTAGAAATGTTTACTTTTCTTATTATATTGAAAAAAACTCACTTTTGTTCATTCACTGGGGGTGTTCATTCATTGGTGCACTTACCCTAAATCTTGCTCATAACTTTCGATTATATAGAGATTAGGTGGAACGTCCTTTAATTGATTGGTGAGATCTTATAAAATGTTACTGGATGAGTATTTTCATTTTCAATTTCAGCTTTTCTATTGTCACATTATGTATGTTATTTAAATTATTTCGTCTAGGATCAGTGACATGTGAGGTGCTCGCCCCGTACACCTCTTCTTGGTTTACTTTAATTTGGTGAACTTTCGTTTGGTTAATAAACTTTTCTTCGAGAAATTATTTTAACCTCAAAGGTTTTCATTGCATTTGTAATTAATTTTTGAAGCATCATAAATTCATTTTTAGGCTTAGCCTTCACTAAGTTAGAACTTTTCTTTGTTTTAGCCATTTTATATTTATATACTTTTATCAGTTTTTAGCACTGTAATCTCTTACACAATTGTTACTGCGTCTTCTCATTTATTTCACTTTATATTTTATTTCGCGTTAACTATGCACACACCTATTATAACAAAAAAAATCAATATTAATATTAAAGCCCCACCCCCAGACTCACAACCACCCCCAGCAAACACCATCCTCCAAGACACCTTTCCATTTCACGGACAACAACCTACTTCATAATTCTTATACGGACGACTTTCTTTTTAAAATATATCCTGGTCACGGAACCAAATTGTAACGCTTCCCCCTCTCTCATATAATAAATATATTAGATATAATTAATTTACCCCTTTTCGATAAAAATTATATATATGTGACCAAGATAATTAAGATATGTTTTGATCTTTCTAAATGATCTTTCTAAAGGTTTAATAATAGGCCGTTTGTAATATTTTTGGCGTGATCGTCTTAGTTAGGACCCTTATTTACGCTGTATTTGTTTAGTAACTTAGTTCTTTTAGGTGTCTTTTGGAAGAATGAATATTCGCAAGAGCAATTGAAAGCTGTTGGTAGTGCCTTATAAGCTAAGTGAACCCCGTTCACGAAGATAGGGCTCGAGAAAGGTTAAGAACATAAAACGTCCAATTCCACTTGTATCAGGTTTACATTATTAATTTAATATTATTTATCCCTTCCCGCTCGGAAAAGGCTCAAAATATATTTATACAAAATACCCGATAGAAGAGCTTCGCTCTCCTACATTTATTAAAAAAATGTAGGGGAGGCACACGGCCCCACACACGCCGTGCACGGTGAGCGCCAACCATTTTGATGCACTCCCCCGTAGGGAAAGCTAATTCGGGAACTGGACCGTAGTCCACAGCAAAATAACTGGCGAACCAGTAAAAGAGGCTTGGCCCCTTGCTAGTGCGTAAGCACAAACATCGACCGAAGTCGCGCATGTCAATGCGTGTAAACGCCAAACAGAATACGAACGATTCCAGCCACAGTGAATGTACGTCACACGGTTTAAGCAAATAGGCACACTGGCCGTAAACCCTCCGTGAGCGCCACCACCTGCCGGACCGCCGCTCCTGCAGACGTGATGTAAGTGTATGGCATCACCACCAATTACATGATCAGCACGGCTACTAGCCGCAGAGCGTGTCACGAGTCTACCGCTCACCTCAAGGGAATGGGGTCCCACGTTGTGCGGCTTTCGGCCGCAGCCTTGAGAGTCTCCTCAGATCCTCCCGCCAGCTACCAACCGCATGAGGTCGACAAATATGCTCCACCAACCAATACAACGGCAGATATAGCCAAAAGGCAGTTATAAGATAAGAGTAATAATTCGCCATCAGAAAGGGTTTGTGTCACTGACGTTGAGTAAATGCATTTTCGATCATGTTTGTCTCACCCACCAACAAGTTGCCTTCAATCATTCAAAGGTGGGAAAGTTACAGAGATATAATATTATGTTGTTATATAAAACATTGTGGAGGGCAGACAGTCTGCAGCCCCGTAATGAAGGGACCCGACTTGGGCAAAGCTACTCAGGCGTGAGTCAATCCAAGACGCAGAGAGCGCCATTGAGAATAGCGTCCCACTAAACAACCATCGCAGAGACGCAATGCTGCAGAACGCAACAAGCATCAATACGACTATCGTCGGGCTTACACCATTCCAAGGTCCCCCATACATCCCAGCAGACATCACCACCCGCATACCTCCATCGACCAGAACCACAAGAGTGCCTCAAATCAGGCGCAGCACACCCGCAGATCCATCACAAGACGCAATACCGCAAGGAGCAGTAAGCATCAATGCAACTATCATACGGATGGCGCCCCCTCACAACACACCCACATGATCCCTATCGACTTTGGTAACAAAGTTTGTATTGTTGTTATATAAAAAATATCACCAACGTATCATAGTAGCACGCTACTAAGACGCCAATGAACAAAACTCCACGTATCATAGCGCTAATGCACTAAGACATGAAGTTGAGTATGCCAGCTACACTTAAAAGTGCTACCAAACACACTCATCATCCCAATCCGAAAGATAGACGACACATCGCTATGCGCAACGACGTCGCCCACAAACGGTATGGGTGTGCGATGTCCACGGGAAAGCCGTATTGCTACAACAAACCCGCTTACCACCGGCACTAAGATGATATGTCTAGGACACATCGGTTAGCGAGTCCAAGTTTACCTCGGACCAATTGCTCGTGAAGCAGCACACACGCCACCATAATATTCCTTTTCAAGTCCCTAATAAGGACTCATTTTGCTACAGTACTAGGAGCAGTCAGTCACCCGACCACCCCATACAATGCTTATGCATCAAGGAGACCTCCTATAATCGCTTCCCGCTCGGAAAAGGCTCAAAATATATTTATACAAAATACCCGATACAAGAGCTTCGCTCTCCTACATTTATTAAAAAAATGTAGGGGAGGGCACACGGCCCCACACACGCCGTGCACGGTGGGCGCCAACCATTTTGATGCACTCCCCCCGTAGGGAAAGCTAATTCGGGAACTGGACCGTAGTCCACAGCAAAATAACTGGCGAACCAGTAAAAGAGGCTTGGCCCCTTGCTAGTGCGTAAGCACAAACATCGACCGAAGTCGCGCATGTCAATGCGTGTAAACGCCAAACAGAATACGAACGAATCCAGCCACAGTGAATGTACGTCACACGGTTTAGGCAAATAGGCACACTGGCCGTAAATCCCCCGTGAGCGCCACCACCTGCCAGACCGCCGCTCCTGCAGACGTGATGTAAGTGTATGGCATCACCACCAATTACATGATCAGCACGGCTACTAGCCGCAGAGCGTGTCACGAGTCTACCGCTCACCTCAAGGGAATGGGGTCCCACGTTGTGCGGCTTTCGGCCGCAGCCTTGAGAGTCTCCTCAGATCCTCCCGCCAGCTACCACCCGCATGAGGTCGACACATATGCTCCACCAACCAATACAACGGCAGATATAGCCAAAAGGCAGTTATAAGATAAGAGTAATAATTCGCCATCAGAAAGGGTTTGTGTCACTGACGTTGAGTAAATGCATTTTCGATCATGTTTGTCTCACCCACCAACAAGTTGCCTTCAATCATTCAAAGGTGAGAAAGTTACAGAGATATAATATTATGTTGTTATATAAAACATTGTGGAGGGCAGACAGTCTGCAGCCCCGTAATGAAGGGACCCGACTTGGGCAAAGCTACTCAGGCGTGAGTCAATCCAAGACGCAGAGAGCGCCATTGAGAATAGCGTCCCACTAAACAACCATCGCAGAGACGCAATGCTGCAGAACGCAACAAGCATCAATACGACTATCGTCGGGCTTACACCATTCCAAGGTCCCCCCATACATCCCAGCAGACATCACCACCCGCATACCTCCATCGACCAGAACCACAAGAGTGCCTCAAATCAGGCGCAGCACACCCGCAGATCCATCACAAGACGCAATACCGCAAGGAGCAGTAAGCATCAATGCAACTATCATACGGATGGCGCCCCCTCACAACACACCCACATGATCCCTATCGACTTTGGTAACAAAGTTTGTATTGTTGTTGTATAAAAAATATCACAATAGGATTCGAACCCATGACCCTACTATTGTAATGCATATTAGTCATAGAGACCTTCTATAATATTGCTTTTGTATCATAGACCTTACTTTCATAAGTCATGTATATATAGGATTCGATCCCACGACCCTACTATTGTAATGCATATTAATCATAGAGACCTTCTATAGTATTGCTTTTGAAT